ATTTTCATAAAATTAAATTAAATAAATTAATTATGAATTATAATAAAAGATAATTAAAATTAACTAATAGAATAATTATATCTTTCATCTTAAAAATTTATTATCAATAAATAAATAATTGAAAAGCTTCTTTTAATTATAAAGAATAAATAAGTATTTTTCTTTATCTATCCTTATTATTACTTAACTACTTTTTAAAGCATAAAAATAAAATAATAATATTGTCTTATTGAAAATAATTAATTTCTTTCAAAATATTTTGTAGTATATTCTATTTCTAATCGATGAATAATCTTCTAGTAGAACAAAATTAAATATAAATTAATGTAGATCTTATTTATTTATTAATTTATTAATTTTAGTTTAAAATAATTAAGTTTCATTAGAAGTAACTTTTATTATTAATATCTTATGAATCTTAAAAAATTAAAAATATTGTAATAAAAATAAGGAAATATCTATATATCAAATATTTCTAATTCTTCAAACTTATTATATCTTTTTTTTACAATAATAAAAACCAAATATTTGTATTATGATCCAAAAGAAATTCATTTTAATTCTAATTATTTCAGTAATCAATAATTATTTTGACTTTAATTCATTAAAAATATATAATCTTATGAAATATAATACATTATCTTAATACTGATTATATTATTATTCTTTTGTTAATTTAAATTGAGAATTAGTTTTGTAATTTTTGTATAATTTAATTATGAAATAAAATTTTTAATTTTAATAGAAATAGGAATTTAAATGTAAGGATCACCCTTAAGAACCTGCTTTATTTTGGTGTAAACAAGCTTATTGTTAAGAAAACAGAGTATTTTGCCTCGTTTGCCAAAAAGAAAAGAAACATATCCAACATTTCAATGAAGATGTTCATGGGATTCATGAATTATTAAAATTTCTATGTGAGAAATCAAAATACCCAAAAGATCTAATATCAGAATGTTAACATTAATTTGAATTTACAATTAAATCTTTTGATAAACTTACTTCTAGTTTATCTTATAAGTTCTGTGGATTAGAAGATAAAATTAATTAACTCTAGAATTATTAAATCTTATAAGCACTTGATTCTTTTGTTAAATTTGATGATATTAGAAAACACATATAAAACAATATAATTGCCTATTTGAAGAAGTTTTAGAAAATCTTAGATGATCTTTATAATTAATTGGAATTACATTTAATTAAATATTAAATGAAAGATGAATAGATAACAATTAATAAAAATGAATTGCAAAAAGGTTTGTATTTATTTTATTATCTTTTAGGTATATCTTTAAATATTAGAAATAAATAAAATGAAGCACTTTAAATATTTGATAAATTATTGTTAGATGAACCATATAATATAGAAATTATGTATTAAAAAGGTTATTAATCATATCTAATTTTAAGGAAATTCATTAACTTAATTGAATAAGATTGTAGAAGCAAAATAAATATATAAAGATATTATTGATATTAATTCATAACATGAATTATCACTTTGGAAAATAGGTATATTTACTTTTATTTATTATTTAGGTGATATTTTAAGATAAGAAAAATCTTATTAGGAAGCTAAGGAATATTATATTAAATGTATTTCTATTAATTAAAATAATTCAGCATCTTAATTTGGAATAGGTTTTATTTATTTATATTCTTTAAGCTGAATGTTTAAAAGAAACTCATTAATATAATGAAGCATTATAATATTATATAAAAGCTATCTAAGTTAATTAGTTTAATAAAGAATATTTTTATTAATAAGGTAAAATATATATTTAATATTAATTAGGTGAATGTCTAAGATTATTAGAAAGGTATCAAGATGCTATTTAACTTTATGATTCAGTTTTTAAAAAAGATGTAAATCATGCTGATTCTTATGCTGGAAAAGGTATCAAATTTATTTTATTTAATTTTAGCAATATGTTTATTATGGTTAGGAATCAATGATCAAGCATTAAATAATATACAAAAATCATTAAACATTAAATAAAATTGCTATTTAGGATTATATGCACAAGGTAACAACTATTTTATCTTAGGATTATATTTATTGTTTATTTAAGATTATTAGCAAGCAATCGAGTATTTTGATATGGCATTGACCATAAATTCATAACATGTAGATTCTTTATGGGGAAAAGGTATAATCAAATTTAATTAATTTTAGGTGAATGCCTAAGAGGGATGAATTAATTTGAATAAGCACTTATATGGTACGAGAAAGCTTTGACCATAAATTCATAACATGTATTGTCTTTATGGGGAAAAGGTATAATCAAATTTAATTAATTTTAGGTTAATGCCTAAGATTAATGAATTAATTTGAATAAGCACTTATATGGTACGAGAAAGCTTTGACCATAAATTCTTAAGATGTATATTCTTTATAGGGAAAAGGTATAATCAAATTTAATTAATTTTAGGTGAATGCCTAAGAGGGATGAATTAATTTGAATAAGCACTTATATGGTACGAGAAAGCTTTGA